TTCATCCCCTTGCTAGACATGGATTTTCTTCAGGGCTTCCTCACTCTTCTCGGCTGGCTTTTTGCCGACGTCTTCCAGGACTTCCATGTCCTCAATCTCAGCTTCTTTCTGGTTCTTGTATGTTACAGGTAGACTTCTTTGCTTCCATGGAGCAATTCCTTGCCTGCACTTGATCCCCTCTGACCTCCTCTACTCCTGTTTCCTGCTTGTTGAATCCGTTGTTACCTCGGCTTCGCTTCGCGAACCATTTCTTTTTTCTTGTTTGGACGCCTTTGTCCCCGGCGTGTCTTCCTCTGCTCTAGCATACTTTTCTATCATGGGCATCAGCTCCTCCATGCTTTTCGGCAATGTCTTTGCCAGTGATTTTCGAAGCAGGCAGTCATCCTTCAAGCCGTTTTTAAACGACACGACCGCCACCTCTTGGTTGCATCCTGGTATTCGGCTAAATACCTCATAGTACCTTTTGGCATAGGCCTTAAGGCTTTCATCCTCGCCGATCTTCAAGGCCATTAGGGCATCCACCATCAATGGCTGTAGCTTGTTTGTCATGAACCTGGCCACAAACATCTCGGCCAGGCCTTCCCAGGTTTTCACAGTTCCTTTCGGCAACTTGTGAAACCAATCCGATGTAATTTCTCCGAAAGATAAGGGGAACACCTTGCACAGCAACGACTCGTTCCTGGTGTACAACGCCATCGAGTTCAGGTACAAGCCGACGTGAAAGTTCGGGTCCAATTTACCGTCGTATATCTGGAACCTCGGCATACTGAACCTTTTCGGGGTCTCAAATTTGTCCAATTCCACCGAGAACGGTGTCCTCGGCTTGACAAGAGAGGTCACCTTGGCATCTTGCCGCTTTCTCTGGAGGTAATCCCTCAGATCCTCCTTGGTTCGTCTAGGAGCTCGGCTATCTCCGGATTTCAGCCTCTTTGGTGCATTACTTCCAGTGTCATTGTGAGTCTTTTTGGACCTCCCTCCATTGGTTGCGTCGAAATAGAGTTCCTTCCCCTGAACATGCCGATGTTCTTTGGGGTCAGCTTCCTTGGTGCGATGTGTCCTCCGTGAATCTCCCCTTCTTGATTCTCCTCGCCCAACCTCCCTTGAAGGCCGGTGAGAATGTTCCTTGGTCCTATCATGCTGAGGAGTCGTAGGAGTTGTCTTCTGCTCCCCTGTCTGGACATTGGCCGCTGGAATTCGGCGTGTCCTGCAGCAGGAATGGTGGCTGCATGACATTATTTTACATCATGAAATTGATGACCGATTGCAGGTCCGCCAATTTGTTCACCATCTCTTTTACTTCTTCGTCCCTCCACAGGCATCTATCCTTCTATACTTGGAGGTCGTCCTCGTTGTAGTACCCACCTTGGTCTGTTTTCTTTGGTACGCCGCCTTCCTGGCCGATGTCTTTCACTCCGTGATTCTTATCACGAGTCTCTTGATTACAGTTGTCTTCTTCAATGTCAAGGTCAATAGGTCTCCCACTCCTAGTACGAGTGTTATCCCCAATCTTCTCTTTCTATCTGTCGTTGGCCATCTATTTTTCTTTCGTTCCCACAGACGGCGCCAAATTGTGTGTGTCAATTTCCGACCACACTGCCAATCAAGCACTCAGCTAGAGAATACTGGCAGAATAGATTAAGCCCGAACAACCTACAACAGAAAGAAGAGATTCCGGCGGTGGTTCGTCCACCCGGGGGCACTCCGACGATCAAGTCAGTAAAATATCTCTCAAAGATAATCAATAGTGTTTAACTCACTAGACAAAGCATAAAAGACATACCTTAGACCCATGGGGGTGTCTCCTTTTTATAGCCAACATAATCCTAGTCCCAAATAGAAGCCTAGCTCTAATGGACTTAGATTACTGCTAATCCTGGACTCCCAGTAGAATTGGGATAAACTCTCTAAGAGTCTTATCTTTACCCAAACTGGAGTCTTCTCCCATTTTAGGACTCTTGTTCCTTATCCGCTTATCTCAGATTCCGGTATTCTCGCAGATAACCTCGGCCTAGTCGAGATCATCTCGACATCATGACCATGACATGTGGCACCTCGGCTGGCACTCCGATACCACCTCGGCTACATGTTTATCATTCAAAAATTACGTCCCCACTGTTACCATATTACGTAAAAAAATATTATTATATTAGGGTTTGAGTTTGTATTAAAATGGTGAGTTATATATAATAAAATATTGATATATTACGTGACTGTTAATATTTTTTTTCAAATTTTGAACATAAATCCTTGTTTGGTTTTAATTTTTAGAAAATATTTTTAGATAGATTTTCTTTTGCGTTTATTGAACTTTTTTCATATTTTAATCAATTTTTTTTTTAAAAACTTTTTAGATACATCTAAAAAGTAAAAACATTTAACTCAAATATGAAAAATAATTCACAAAAAAGAAACAAAAATCTGAATAATTTTTTTTCATATTAATTTTTTTTATAAATATTTTAGCCAATTTATTTTATTTTTTAGATACATTCTGATAAGGTGCATCTAAAATTCGTTTATATTAAAAAAAATAATAATAAATTATAAATACATCTTTTGAAATTTATTTTTAGTGAAGAGGGATGTTTCATTAATTTGCTTTTTAAAATTCATAAAAGTTAGGAAGACAAAACTACTTGCAAAACGTGGTATTATATTAAAAAAAAAATAATAATAAATTATAAATATATCTTTGATATTTGTTCAAAATATGAATTATTTATTGTGATTTGAAAAATTACAAAAAAATTTATTAGAAGTTTTTAATTTAATAAAATTAGTTGAAAAAAATAAAATTTTAGCTGCTCTCCTATATAATGATAAAATTATATAAATTATTAATTAAAATAATTTTCCAATTTCATCAACAACTATTAATTAATTTGATAATTTATTAATAAAAATGACTATTATTATGAAATTAAAAATTTCAAATAGCAAAATTTAATCTCCAAAACTACAAACAACAAATCGTTATTTTAAGCAACCTGTATTTGTAATTTGGAATAGGATTCTCTTCGGTCCGAAATCAAATTGGAATGTGTTGTTGAGCCCGTGATGGCTCATTATGGGTTCTTTTTCGATAATCCAAATCGTTTAGTGTGTAGAACTTGTTGAGTATTTGATCCATGCAAAAAATTATGTTAATCGAATATGGATAGCCACTTAATCAAAGCATATTTCAGTCAATGATAAAATTGGTTTTTAAATAAATTGTTGACATAAATTTGATGTGATCAAGTAGTTATCGATAATTGATTAATATGATTTTTTATAAGAATAAAAACACTTAACAAATTCTACTCATTGAATAATTTAAATTATTGTAACAAAAATCGTGATAAATCCGATGAGCTCGAAAAGTTTGATTTGTTTAAGAAGTAATAGTTTTAGTCTAAAAATCAAAAAATTATTAAAAAAATTAAAAAGCCTATAATCTATACTAAAAAATCAAATATTTTCTTTTTTTTTTTTTAAACTTTTTATACATTTTCTCATAAAAAACTAAAAAATCACTTTAAACATATAAATTTTTTAATCTCATATTTTAATTAAAATATTAAAAAATTGTTAAAATAACATATTGACAGATAAGCGGCATCTACTACGTGGACCTCGGGGAGAATCTAATAAGTCCTCGTAATATACTCTTAAAAAAACCCACACCGAAAGTTCATGGAAGTTCCGAAAACGACCAAAATGTTTGCAAATAACGCAAATCTATACTATATATTAAATAAAAAAAAGACTTTCTAACCTTAAGTTTTGTGAAAATTTCAATCTCTCAATTTAAATTTTTTAATTTTTTTTTTAAAAAAATCTTAGCATTTATTAACATCTCCCAACTCCCAAGTCTTACCCTCATAATAACATTTAATGCATTAAGAAGAAGCATAAAAAAAATTCTTTGAAATCCAACACATATGGATTCCTTGAAAAGTCCCAACACATATGATTATTATCCCTCATAATAACACTTTAATGATCATAATAACACTTTAATGCATTAAGAACAAACATAAAAAAAATTCTTGAAAATTCCAACACATATGATTATTATCAAAATATTAAACTTTAATATAATATAATAAAAAAAAGATATTTAATTCCTTGAAAAGTCCAACACATGATTATTATCAAAATATTAAACTTTAATATAATATAAAAAAGGAAAAAAGACATTTAAAAAAAACATTTAAAAATCACAATTCACATATATAGATAATTGTAAACACAATAAAATAGGAGGGCATTCATGTCTACAAGTTTTTTTTATAAGATCTCCTCAATTATAATAAGATAGCACTTTATTTCTCTCATCTTATAATCTATATATATATATATATATATACTCTATATTAAGCAAAATGAGGTTTTTAACCCCAAGGACTGTGGGAGCTTCAATATCCCAATCTGAATTTTTTAAATTTTTTTATTAAAAAAAAAATTCAGCATTTATTAATTTAGTCAAAATTCCCTTATCAGCATTTATTAACTTTTTTCAATCCACATGTCTTTCCACATGCCTGCATTTATTGATTTGGTCAAAATCTCCTGATCAGCATTTAAAATCCCCTCAGACAAATAATTATAGATACAATCTTTGTATAGTTACTGCAGTACCCTTTTCAACTTCTCTCACACACTATGGTTAGTGATAAGATTGTTAAATTATTTTTATAAAAATATTTAAAAACATAATTTATATATTAAAAAATGTTAATAACAAATATAAATATTTATAATTATCCCGTGCATAGCACGAGTGATAGGCTAGTCTATACTATATATTAAGCAAAAGGGGGTTTTTAACCCAAAGCCTTGTGAGACATATTGACAGACAAGGCGGCATCTACTATGTGCGCCTCGGGGAGAATCTAAAAAGTCCTCGTAATACTCTTAAAAAAAACGACCAAAATGTTTGTAAGATAAGCTAGGATTGCTAATATAAAACACGAGAAAACACTCATCCAGATCATCTAAAAAAATTTCCAATTCACACTACAAGTTTTCACTCTCAAGTTCACAATGGCTTTGGTGCCTTTCCAAAGATCCAATTCCTCTATTCGATCATCATCATCATTATCTTCGTCTTCTCATCCTCTTCAATGGACATACGATGTGTTTTTGAGCTTCAGAGGCGAAGACATTCGCGACAATTTCCTCAGTCATCTCTATAAAGAGTTGAATCGAAAGGGAATCAACACCTTCATGGACGATAAAGAGCTCCAAAGAGGGAAAAAAATTTCGCCAGAACTCCTCAAAGCTATTGACGAATCAATGTTTTCGATTGTCATCATATCGGAAAACTATGCTTCGTCAAGTTGGTGCCTGGATGAACTTGTGAGGATACGTGAATGCAATGATGCGAGAGGGCAAATCGTTTATCCAGTTTTTTACCGTGTGGATCCATCGGAAGTGCGAAAACAAAAGGGGAATTTTGGGAAACGATTTGATGAATTGGTTTCCAAGGTTGACATGGAGATCGAGATGGAGATGGAGAAGGTTCAAAGTTGGAAGAAAGCTTTGAAGGAAGTAGGCAATTTAGCAGGTTTCACTTTCCCAAATCCAGCAATTGGGTAATAAATTACTCCTACTTTTTTAACATGGAAAATTTCAACGTGTCAAATGATTTACTGAAATTTTTACCAAATGTGTCATATCTGTGTGTGACACTGACATCATGTAGAGGGTATGAGTTCAATATTTTCATTTCGTCTAAATAATTACAATTGTAGGGAATTAGTGTAATTTTTCAAACGTCAGGATAATATGTATTAAACTCAAACCTGAGTGGTGTAAGTGTAATTTATACTAGAAATTTTGATAAATCTTTTAAATCTATAGCATTAGGCTTTTAACATATGCTTATTTGATTTATTTCCATTTTTTATTGTTTATTGGGTAAATTACACTTTCACTCTTTTAAGTATGAGTTATTTACACGGAGTATCCTTAAATTATTGAGAAATATCATTTTGAATTTTTAAATTATAAAATCATATAAATGGACCCTTAAATTATTGAAAAATATCATTTTATGTCCTAAACTATAAAATCATATAAATAGACACTTGTACAAATTTGACCCCCTGATGGAAGGGGTCAAAGTGAAACACACCAAGAGTTTATTTGTAGTCTTTTATGGTTTAGGGGTCTACTTCTCAATATTTTAGAGGTCTATTCGTGTGTTTTTATAGTTTAGGGAGTTAATAGTTTAGTGGTCTTCGTGTAAATAGCTCTTATTTCTTACTATTTTGTTCTTAAGAAAATATTCTCTCACTTTGGTTCACAAATTATTTTTTGTTTCCACTCAATTATCAAAGTCTCCTTAGAATTTTGTAAAAGGGTGTAACGGTGTCTAACGGACCGTTATGACCGTTACGGTACTGCTATGGCCATTACGTAATACCGAAACGGCCATTACGCGTGAATTTCCGTCACACCGCTATAGTGGTTGTAACGGGTGGCGGTAACCACCGCAACCGTTACGTAACACAGTGATGTAACGGTTGCAGCCGCTTTTTAAAACCTTGTTTCACATATTTCATACATTTTTTCCTTTTCCCTTTACCCAAATCCATATACCAAACACAGCCTTAAGTGAAGGGACACTTTAGAAATTTTAAACATTAAGTTTTCAATTTGGTCACTAAAAAATTGTTTTCTCGCTTTTGAAAATTTCCCAATTTGGACCATAAACCCAAACACAAACCTAATCTAAAAAATATTAACAAACGAAAAAAATAAAAAATAAAATTGCTATAAGTTTGCATTATTCGACAAGTGAAGAGGCTACAAATTGAAATATGGAAGCTAGTGGAGGAGATTATGTGGTGGGTTGGAAAGGAAAGGTGGTCAATTGTGAGGGTGGGGTAAAAGAGCAGAGGTGGTTGGTTATGGGAGTGGGGTGGGAAAGGTGGATAGAGGAAACAAACCTCAAGCACTATGGCACCTATACACAATAATCGCTTGTACAATCCATATATTTACATCACCAATAGTGCGTAAAACCTTTCAATCAGCCATTATATACTAATTAATCTACTCAAATACGAAAATATCATCATGCCACTAAGTTAGTTCCCCTGCACCAATTTCCAAAAACACTAACATGAATCCATTTTTACATCAAACTTCATAATAAAAATATTTAGAATCAACTTCCTTCATAAATACAAAAGATAAAACTACATCCTCGTGTAACCCTATGCAAAACCTCAACTACAAAATGCCCACCTTTGATCCTCTAGAAAATCTAAGCTTCCACGTTCAAGCGAGCCACGCTATAATCTAGGAATTTGAAAAAGATTTAGGGTTGGTTTGGGATGTCCTAAAAAAGTGCACTTTTTGACTTATTGGTGGGTTTGGGTTGGGTTTGGGTTGGATTTGATGTGATGTGTTAGAGAGGTGATATAATTTAAATAAGATGATGTGACTTAAATAAGATAGTGACTTTTTGACTTTTTAGCTTATTTAGTACATGCCAAACTAGCCCTTAATTTAGAAGAATGGGCTAGAGCTCAATGAGTATTCCAATCCCATGGAGTTATAAAAACTTGTTCCTTCCAATTGGGGTCAATAATAAGAATAATAAAAATAAGAGCTTGATTGGAATGAAATTAATACATAGTGAAAATTTGCATAAACCATTGTCGAGATTTTTCAAAGAATATCAAAATGCGGTAAAAAACATTTGAAACAAGGAGATTAAAATAAAAATATAATTTTTCAATGCATTAAAATCTCGTGTCCATCATACAATTCACTACATATCAAGTTACCTTGCGACTTAGGTGGTGACGGTACCGTTACCCAAAATATACCCATAGGAAACATAACTCATGTCATCATAGCATTTCAATTCTCATTTCAATATTTCGGTCCCCAGGACCCCTTATGTACAACGACCCATATGCTCCTTAAAACATTTCGGTCCCTAGGACCCCAAAGCATTTCCGCCTTTGTGGCCGCATAGGCTATATTCAGTCGTATGATCAATGAAAAGAAATATTTTTGCATAATGTAACGTTGTCATTCCAATATCATCATTATAAAATTTGAAAGACTCAACTTGAATGCATTCTCTTGAAAAACTTGTTGCCTCTTTATACACAAAAATAATTTATTTAAACTTTAACTTTTGACCCCAAATAAATTTATAGGTTTTCAATACGTACTAATAACGTGATAAAACATGTAACTTAGTTCATTCATTTTCTTTAATTGAAAATAATCTCAAACCTTGTTTTTCAAATAGAGGTAATGTGAATTTCCATGGTAAAGTATACTCACCTCCAAAATAGCAATAATTGTAAATTGAAACTCTTGGAGTTAATTCCCAAGAGGTGTAAAGATGCCTTCTTTCAATCCTAACAATTAGTAAATAAGATCTAAAATTAGGGAAATGTTTTCAAGGATAATTGCAACATCTACAAAGTTGAGCCTAAATAAGACATGCTATGGAATAAAAGCTAAAGCCTAAAGAACTCTGAAAAATCTAAAATTTTCGAGATATTGATTTGTGATTATGTTTCAATTTTAAATAACGAATAACAATCCCAATCAAATAATCAAAGACAAATGGACACAACGATTTAACGTGGAAAAATCACAATTGGATCCAATTGTGATAAAAAAAAATCACGGGTAATATTCACAAAAAAATCCATTAAGAAGACAAAAAGTAATTACACAAGTGTACTCTCAATTACCTAGTGAATCCGCGCCCGAATTGAAGCGACCCCAATGTGCATCTTCCACCGCTGTCTTCACCTTAGAATTGTCTTGTCCAACGTTGAATCCACAACATTGATGTCGAATCCATGATGATGAGTCACTCCAAAATCCACCAAAGTTTCAGGCCCAAGTTCTCTTGAATCCACTGAAGAAGAACTTTTTCTTTTGTGAATAAAAGAAAATAAACAAACCCTTGATGATGTTCATATGAAGTTCACTAATCCGTTGATCACTCTTAAATCATCAAGGAAACACTCATAAAGCGCCCTCCAATATTAAAACACTTTGTTTATTCTTTCTCTTTGAAAATCTGGACGGCTCAAACCCTAAAAACAGCAAACGGGTGAAATAAAATGTAAAAAACTCTTTTTATAGTGATTTGAAAATATGTATATTGGATCATACTTAAAAATTAAGAAAAATTGATTAAAATCTATTTTAAACCTCAATGAACGACTGCAACCGTTTTTCAAAACCTTGTATGGAGTCATTCCAATACTTGATTGATAACTATTATTATATGGAAATTCTATGAATGTGTTCATCCCAATTACCTCGAAAATCTAGGACACGTGCTCTTAACATGTCTTCTAAAGTTTGGATTGTCCTTTCCGATTGTTCGTCAGTTTGGGGGTGAAAAACTGTACTGAATCTCAATTTAGTACCCAAAGCATTCTGAAGACTAGGCCAAAGGTGGATGATGTAATAAGTTGTAACTGGGAGAAACTATTTATTTTATTTATTTAAGTTAGACAATTTTTTGGGGTTGGGGATCAAAGTGAGAAATCCTTTTTCTTTAAAGACCAAAGTGGGAAAATGACCATACTTTGGGGAACAAAGTGTAATTTACGCTATTTTTGTTATAAAGGTATAATTTTCATTAGAATTTGGATCAAAGTGGAAGAATTTATCCAGTTGAAAAAGTCCCAAATTTAAGAAAAATGAAATTTTTTAGTGAAAAATGAAAATATAATAATTTTCTGAAGTTCTGGATTTACTATCCCTTTTTGTGAAAACACTTACTCAAAATGTATGATTCCAAATTTTGGTCTGAGAAACAAGAGTCAGGATCAGGAGTTTACGGTTACAAGTAAGGGAGGTGTTAGGCACCTTACTGCACCTTTTGATACTTAAATTCTCTCAATGTAACCTTTTAGTTCCGTGGATCAATTTTAATCCCAACATATTAATTCTGTTATTGTTGTTATTATTATGTTTTTGAATTGCGGTAAATTTGGTTTGCAATTGCATAGGTTTATAAAACATTCTTGTCCAAATCTGCAGATGGTAATTGAAAGTTGAACCTGGCCTACTGGGTGCCTACGTATCTATGGTTGGAATTAGGTCCATACAATAGTTCAGGTTTTGTTAATTTAGAATGGCCGGTGTCACGCATGCCAAGGATGCGTAGGATAGGTTTAGAAATACTTCATTCTAGTAGCGGAAAATTGGGAAATTTTGAAAGTTGAAAAGTTGGACCAAACTCGTGAATGCGCTGCCTATGAAAACATAAGTGTCCTGAATATTATTGTATAGGAAATGAAAATATACTTGTGAGGGTAATGGAGCAATGCCAGCAATTGTTGATTTGATTATTCAACTTGAACATTTTCAGCACTTATCTAACTTGCTAAGCCCAATTCAAACACATTCCCTAGACCAAGTTTTTGTTATAAGAAAATTGTCCACACTATCTATCCTAGATCCTTTTCTTAGAATATGATTTTCATCCCAAAATATTTGAAATGAAATTAGCAAAATTAACTCACTTTTCTCTGTTTAAGCTTGTTTGAGTTATGATTCATGAATTTTCTTTTATTTTGCTTCTCAATCAACAGGTCTGAATCAAAGCTTATTGAAGAAATTGTTGGGAAAATTTTTGATTATTTAAATGTGTATTCAAGTGTTGATGAAGGCCTAGTTGGAATGGATTCTCATATGGAGGAAGTGATAAAATTGCTAGGTTTAGGGAATGATGATGTTTGTATCGTTGGGATATGGGGAATGGGTGGAATAGGTAAGACAACTATTGCTCAAGTTGTTTATGACCGTATGTCTTGGCAATTCGATGGTTGCTGCTTCATTGAGAATGTTAGAGCTGTTTCAAAAGAATGTGGTATAATGTTTCTTCAAGAACAACTTGTTTCTAAAATCTTGATAGAGAAAGATCGAAAAGTAAGCAGCATTAGTAGTGGAAAAAGTATGATAAAGAGAATTATAAGTCATAAAAAGGTTCTCATTGTTCTTGATGATGTGGATGAATCGATAGACTTGGGAAACCTGCTTGGAGAGCATGATTGGTTCAGTTCTGGAAGTAAAATCATTATAACAACTAGAGATTTGCATGTGTTAAAGACATGTGGTGCAACACATACATATAAGGTTCATGAATTAAAAAAAGATGAAGCTGTTAAACTCCTTATATCAAAAGCCTTTAGAAAAGACAAGCAAATAGGAGGTTATGGAAACCTCCTAGATCGTGCGGTGGAGTACTGTAAAGGAGTTCCTTTAGCTCTCAAAGTTTTGGGTTCTTTTCTTCATGATCGAAAAGAAATTTACTGGGAAAGTGCTTTAAAAAGATTAGAACAAAGTCCTCTTCCAGAAGTTGAAGAAGTACTCAAAATAAGTTATGATGCATTGGGTTGGGAAGATAAGGAAATATTCCTAGATATTGCATTTTTTTTCAAACAGAAATACATAAATGATGTAACAAAAATCCTAGAAAGTTTTGGCTTCCAACCCACTATTGCAATAGAGCTTCTAGTTGAAAAGTCACTGATAGTTATTTCACACAGTAGGCTGTTTATGCATGATTTGATACAAGAAATGGGGAGAAATATTGTTCGCCAAGAATCACCTAAAGAGCCTGGACAACGCAGTAGGTTGTGGCTTTATGAAGATATAAAACATGTACTGATGAATGATACGGTAAGAGATTTTATAGAAAAGCATGAACATTTTAAACATATTTAAGAAAAGTTCTGCATAATTTTGTTATCCTTTAATTTTGTGTCTTGTTATTTACTTGTGGTTATTAGGGAACAGAAAAGCTGGAAGGCATAGTTATGAAGTATCCTGACCTAGGAAATCGTGATCCAAAGGATTTTGGGTTTCCAGAAGAGTTGAAGTTAAGCGGTAAAGCTTTTGCAAAGATGAGGAGCCTAAGAATTCTCATAATTCGTTGTTTTCTCCTTTCTGAAGACCTCAAATATCTTCCTAACAATTTAAGGTATCTTGATTGGCATGGATACCCTATGAGATGTTTGCCTTCAGAATTTCAACCCATGCGTCTTGTTGAACTTCACATAACTAATAGCGACATTGAACAACTATGGATGGGAACAGAGGTATAATTTTGCATTTTGTTTACTCCAAATAAGATGTGAATTCCATAACAACATATATATATATATATATTTGTTTTTTTAATTTCCTCAACAGGTTCTATACAATTTAAGGACCATGAATCTCAGTTACTCAGAATCTCTAACCACGAGCCCAGACTTCGAAAAGTTCCCAAATCTTGAAAGCCTATATCTTGAAGGTTGTACAAATTTGGTTAATCTTCATCCATCCGTTGGATCTCTCAGAAGGCTTGTTCGCATGGAGTTGAGTGGCTGCGTAAATCTTGAGAGTCTTCCAAGTGGCACTCAATTGGAGTCTCTTAAAACTATTTATGCATATGGGTGTTTAAAGCTAAACATTTTGGGAAGCTTTGAACATACCAAATGTTTACGAAGGCTTGCATTAGTCGCGTCCAGTATATCTGAACTGCTGTTACCAGTTGGACATCTTACCAATCTTAAAAGCTTGGATCTGGGACGTTGTAAAAACTTGACAAGTATTCCAAACAACATCGGTCAATTAAAAGCTCTTAAAAGTTTAATGCTCTCTCGGTGCTCAAAACTTGAGAAACTGCCTGAAGAAGTAGGTGATCTAGTCAGTTTAGAGAAACTTACTGCAGACTATACAAGGATTACACAACTCCCATCTTCAATTTGCCGGCTCTGCTATTTGACAGTATTAGATCTAAAGGGAAACGATTTTGAAAGTTTACCTTCAAGCATGAGCCAACTTAAATTGCTGGAGGAGATATATTTGTCCAATTGCAAAAAGCTTCAAGAATTGCCAGAGCTTTCTTCAGACATTAGTGTTATAGAGGCACATCATTGCAAATCATTAAGAAAAATAGCGAATCCATTCTTATACAAAGACATTGAAAGATTTGATTTTTTGAATTGCTTCAAATTGGTTGAAAATAAGGAAAGCAATATCCTAACAGATGAATTCATTTCAAGTCTCTTTCAGGTACTCTCTCTCTCTCTCTCTCTCTCTCTGTGGTTTAAGCACAATACATTGTGACCAATCTTCGTTGTACAGGGAAGTATTTCGCGTGAGATATACAAATGTAGAATTATATTTCCTGGAAGTGACATCCCGAAGTGGTTCAACCATCAAAGTAATGATGAGTCTTCAGTATGTTTGAAGTTTAATAGCAGGTTCTTGGGAATTGCTATTGCTCTTGTTGCAATCGGAGAAGAGGATGTATTCGATCATCTTTGTTTTAATATGAGGCATAAGACCGTACTTGTTACGTCATGGACGACAAAATGCCCTTCTATTCAATCCGAAAATGTGGGAGTGATCTACTTGACACGCCGAAATGAATTATTAGATTCAATGGTGGAGAATTTAAATGAGGGTGAAGAATTTAAAGTCAAATGGGATTGTAAGGAAATTGAGGTTAAAAAATGTGGGGTTCGTTTGGTTTACAAAGAAGATTTTGAAAGGAATGATCATCAAGCATCCCAAGATGACAATTTGATTGTTGTGTCCCAAGGAGTTGAAAATGCTAATAATGCTCCATTAAAGAGAAGACCTAGTGGACGTGGCGACTTTCAGGAAGAGGACTGTCCCAATATCAAAAGGGCCAGGCTTGCCCAACCTAACAGAGGTAACATCCTGTTAAAAAAATAATATATATATGTAGTACAAACTAACAAATTTTATATACAAATTTTACTGATGTGTTATGTAATAATAAAGTTTTGAAAAAATAAGACCTACTTCAATAATGATATCTGTACATTATATACAAAAATTGAAGGGAAAAATCTTTCATATAAAGTATAACACATCACAAGAATGATGTGGTAATGCTCTATTCATCATTTTGTATAATATTTTTATTTACCATTACTTTTTTTGAGAACATTATTTACCATAACTTGTTAAGGCCAGAATGTCCTTGTGCGTGATTGGTTGCTTTTGATCCACAACACCTGTTTGTGCCACCTAGACATCCACATCAGCTTCATCTTCTTCCTTTTAGGTGACTTCCTCTTCTTCCATTCTCCCACTTGTTCCACCACAAGTGTTTAGTATTGATTCAAACTCAGTAATATTGTTATACAAATTAGGTGTGTGAAAATATATATATATATATATATATTTATATATTGTTAATTTGTATAACAATATTACTGAGTTTGAATCAATACTAAACACTTGTGGTGGAACAAGTGGGAGAATGGAAGAAGAGGAAGTCACCTAAAAGGAAGAAGATGAAGCTGATGTGGATGTCTAGGTGGCACAAACAGGTGTTGTGGATCAAAAGCAACCAATCACGCACAAGGACGGTGGTCTAGTCAACCGCTACGGGTCATAGCTGAATTTGATTTCAAGAGTTGGAAATCAAAACATTGGAACATTAAGGTATTTAAGAAGGTGGGTTTCTTTCATTGTAAATCTGTTTCGTTCTTATAAATTTTTGTCCATCCTTACAATTATTATTTTTTAGATAGGTCCATCCTTATAATTGATATCATGATACTTTGATGGATAAACTATCAATAGGTCCTAATAGTTGGACTTATTTCTCATTAAGTCCTATTGAAAATAAGCCTAATACAATCGTCGCTAAAATTAATTTTTTGTGATGTTTTGCGTAAAAATAGACAATCAGTAACTTTTTTTTGTTTGTCACAGTTTTTATAAATTGTCATTAAAACTTATAATTAGTGACTTTTTTGTGACAAAATTTTCAAACTGTCGCTGAATGTTGAAAATTAGTAACTTTTTTTTTGTGATGATTTTTTTAAACTGTCGCTAAAATTTAAAATTAATGACATTTTTTGTGACAGAATTTTCAAACTGTCGCTGAAAATTAACAATTAGTGACCTTGCTTAATAGTGTATGATGAAAAATGTCATAATTATCATATGATCTATTGGACAGTCATTGCTAAAAATAATTTTTTATGACGTTGTGCATAAAAATTGACAATTAGTGACTTTTTTTTTGTCATGATTTTTATGAATTGTCGTTAAAATTTACAATTAGCGACTTTTTTGTGACGATTTTTTCAAACTACCACTGAAAGTTAAAAATTAGTAACTTTTTTTGTGATGGTTTTTTTAAACTGTCACTAAAATTTATAATTAATGATATTTTTTGTGACAGAATTTTTAAACTATCTCTGGAAATTAATAATTAATGACATTTTTAAATAGTATAATGAAAAATGTCATTAATTATTATAGAATCTGTTAGACAATAAGTATACTTAGTAGGATTCACACGTAAGTTTTCCTATTTTTAAGTCAAAGATTGGCCAAATTGAAAATGAACCAGAAGTATAAAGACCAAATTATTTATATTAAAATAGGGTGAATTACACGAACGGTCCCTATAGTTTGGCCTCGTGTCACTTTGGTCCCTGACTTTTCAATTGTGACACATTTGACCATGAATTTTGAATCTTGTTTTAAATAAGGACAATTGAAGATACTATTGCTCAATTTCAAGGGCAACGTCATCAATTTGATAAAATATAAACTAATTTGACAAAAATAAATGTCAAAAAAATATTTTTGAATTTTTAAAAATTATTTCTACCCACTAAAGATAAAATTATGTAAAATTGATAAATCTTTTAGACATTTATTTATTTATTTTACCAAACTAATTTTTATTACGTGATTGGATGATGATCATGTAATGGGTAGTTTTTATTTTCATTAAATTAGTTTTTATTTTTTCAAAAGTCAAATATGGCGACAACTTTGATATCATTATTAAACTAATTCATTAAATCAAAAAATTTAAAACTAAAAATATTTTATATATTAAATATATCGATTGTAAATTAAAAGTCTAACAATCACTCATTACATGATCATCATCCAAACACATAATTAAAATTAATTTAGTAAAATAAATAAATGTCTAAAACATTATCAATTTTACATAATTTTATCTTCTTTGGTGGGTAGAAATTATTTTTAAAAATTCAAAAATATTTTTTTGACATTTATTTTTATCAAATTATTTTATATTTTGTCAAATTGATGACTGTCTTTAAAATTGAGCAATGGTATATTTAATTGTCCGTATTTAGAAGAAGATTCAAAATTCAGGAAATGTGTCACAATTGAAAAGTCAGAGACTAAAGTGACACGAGTCCCAAACTATAGGGACTGTTAGTGTAATTCGCCCATTAAAATAATAAGAATTAATGTAAAATTTAAATCAAATTATAAAATTATGAGTGCATTCAATAGAATGGGTTATCTACATATCGGTGTCAACATATCCGAATGGTTGTATTGTACCCAATGCCAATACAATGGGTTGTCTATGTATCCAAGTCGGCAAGTTCAAATGGAACTGAAAACAAATTTGATCAGAATCAAGTCAATCGTAGTTTTCAATTTCAAATTAGGTTTTGATTTGGTTTGATTTTTTTTTTTTAAACAAATTTAAAAATCAATTTAAATTTGTCCATAGCTTTAAGAAAAGCTAAATTTCCAATGGTAAGATTAATTCCGTAAAGGAGGATCCCCTCTAGTTCAGATTTGCTGTTTAGGTCCGTAGAGCCGACTACGGGTCCTGTTTCAAGAATCTAAACCGTTCATTTTGTGGGATATTCGTGTATTTCATCTATAAAAAAAAATTAAGTCGATCCGTAACTTGTTCAATTTTTCACTTAAAAAATAGACAACAATTGTGTTTTTAAAAATAAATCATATTTTTTTGGTGACAAACGCAATAAATTGAATAAGTTACAGTTATCAAATTGACCTAATTTTTTGTATGGATGAAATACACAGAGTGCCCGACAAAATGAATGGTTCGGATCATCGAAATGGGACCCATGGTGAGTCTTACGGACCCAAACAGCATCCTCTAGTCTAGATTTGGACTGGAGGGGATCCTCCTCATTTGGTAAAAATTTGAGGGGCAATCATATCCTGGTGAAACTTTCAAAAAATAACGACATACTCATGAAAAATTTTAATATTTTAATTATTAATGATCATAAAATTTATTATTTTTTTGTAATTATTTTTTTAAAAATATTACTAACTTGATATTTTCTAAAAAATTTAGGCTTTGATCTCAGTTATTTTAAATGTATTTTTTTTGGGTAAGTTATTTTAAATGTTCTTGAAAGGCTTTAACTTGAGCTTTTAGAAACTTTGAATTTTAAGCATGCAATAAGCCACTTGTTGGTATACGGGTCAGGAATATCACGTAGCCATGTGCGCATCAAATAGTGCATTGTCTCATATAGATCCAGAATATCACATGCTGTGTGCGCATCAAATAATGCATTGTCATTCTTCTGTTATTTTTTTATTTTTGATTTTATATAATTATTAAATCTTTACTATTAGTTGGCCACATCACTAACTTGAAATTTCTGAAAAATAGTATAATAATCTCACTTGGTGGGCCAAGTGAGGTTTTGTTTATGCATAACAGGTAATGTATTTTTGGACCATTGGGTGGGCCCATCTTAATGTCATGGAAGGAAAACATTTTTTGGCTACTGGACAGGCTATTTTATTGATGGAAGACAAAATTTTGGAAGATTTACGACCAGTCCTATTGAGAAGATTTATTTACCTATAAATTCTACTCTTTTTCTGACTTATCAATGTCCTTAAAATACCATTCATTTACCTTCTTCATCCCTATATTATCAACACTATTATGACTCTTTTCTCTTCCGTCAGCAACCACCTCTAGTCACTGGTGGTCACCTCAAGCACCAGTGACCACCTCTGGCAATAATTTATGACGATATCTTGTTGAATTGTTTCAACAACAATAATATCCATCACCACCACTACATTACTACTGTCACCACCTCTACCACTCATTCATATTGACACATATTTACACACATACACTCACTGTCATTTATTTGTATACTTGTTTACTCTAAAAAATGCAACCACATAGACATATATAACACATACTAATCTAATAAATTTATTAGAAACACATTCAATGATAAATTTATCGTTGATCGATTTAAAAAAAATTACAAACAAATTTGATTCACTTGCTTACTCATGTTCACTCACTTACAAGAATTCACCATCCTCTCCACAAATATAGGAAACAATAGAGACTGATAAATTTATCACTAGAAAAATAAAAATAAAAATACATTCAGTGATATCACTGAGTGATTTGTGGAAAAAAAAAAAACTACATTCATACTTCTATTCACTTACTCACAAGACTCTTTCATCCTACATACATATACACAATCAGAAACTGATAAATTTATCACTGAAAAATAAATTTATTGTAGATTTGTTTTTAAAATAGAGAGAGAGAGAGAGAGTGGGGAATACTGTTGTTTGGAGTCATTTGGAGTTGATTTCACCATTGAAACAACTAGATTGATGTACATCTAGAACTAAATCGATGGATCGGCGATGATAGAGTGGAGATTGAAGATATAAGTGTAGATCGATGATGGTTGATGTGATTGGTGAATGATGGTGGTGGATTCATGACAGTGCAGTATAGATCGATGACGTTGGCAGTGGTGGTGATGGTTGGATGACGACAACGACCTTGATGGTGGTTGTGGTGACGTTGACGGCAACAGAGGAGAATAGTGGAGATGGTTGGTGAACAATGGTGGTGGCAGTGGTCAGCGAAGGTAGCGGTGGTCGATGATGGTGGCCGTAGCGGGTGAACAATCATGGCGACGTCGGTGGTATGAAACTCTTTAGGGAAATGGTAGCGAGAGAGAGAAGAGTTCGCTCTGTGTGTGTGTATGTGTGTGAGAGAGAGAGAGACAGGGATAGAGAATAGGTACAAACAAGGTTTTAAAAAGCGGCCGCAACCGTTACATAACGCCATTATAGAACGGTTGTGGTGATTACCGCCACCCGTTACGGCTGCTTTTGCAGTGTGATTGAGATTCACAGGTGTGTCGGCCGTAGCAACTGCCGTAGCGGTCGTAACGGTGCCATAACAGCCGTAACGGTCTGTTACGCACCGTTACATAACGGTTCCGAACTACTTTTTTCGAAAAAAACACACAAAAAAAGCTAAAAATGGGAGAAGAGGGTAGAGAGAAGAGGGAAGATAAAGAGAGAAGATGGAGAAGCAAGAGATAGAAAGAGAGGTGAGGAAAGATGAAGAACATGTTATTGATTCGTTGAAGCTGTAAGACCTATGCTATTCTATTCAGCTGCTATCACTCAACCATTTTGTTTGTGTGTCTATTTATATATTGTTTGATAATAATAATAATAATAATAATAATAATAAGTGTGGTCATTATCTATTTGGCTTGGTTAAAATATGTATATATATATATATTTAGGCTCTTATTCATTCTCTTACTTTTGCCATTGTTTATCTTATATATAATAGTTAGTGATTGATTTTTTGTATAATATAAAGTCATTAATTA